TAAACTGCAGTGGGTCAAATTAGATTAAGAACTTTATCGTGTATGCTTTCTTTTCCCCTTTTCCCTCCAAAGCATCAGTTTCCCCCACCCCCTCTCCCTCATACAACACCCCCCCATAATTTCCTAGTTCTTCTCCCAACTTTATGTAATGTGGGGGTGGGGCACGTGCTATCAATATCTTCCATGGAAACGCTGAAGGCAATTCACCCTTTTTCTCTGCACCCAGGATAGCCAGGGAATGGTCACTTGACCTAAATTCAGCTGACTCAATGGTCACTCCTAGAATTTTGATTCTTTAGCAGCTGTAAGAACAAGCAAGAACTGTTGGTCAATGGCATCCCAGCAGGCTCTTCCAATCATGAAGCATCTCCACTCTTCCAACATCTTGGTTTTGCAGAGCTCCTTGGTCTTTCCCACTTCCAAGTATGTTTCCCCAGACTCAGATCAATAGCCTGTGTATACTAGCCAGTGAGGGTCTTTCTATAAGCATAGAGTGCAATTCCAAAGAAATAACAGGAGGAACAGAGCATCTGCTGAGCTTGCTGGTGTCACAGTTCATCTTGGAATAACTCCTCTACCAGGGAAGTTCTCTGGTGGATGGTCTGATGTTTTCATTTCTTCCTCTTGCTTTTCCCTGCAGGAGGAGTATACTTCTGGATCCACTGATCTTGGTGGATATGATGGTTACCATGGCTCAGTCAGAGCTTTCAATATACTTTGCCAATTTTGCTTCATATATGTACATACACACATATAAAGTATATTGTATATGTAAGCTATATATTTCAAATATGTATTACTTCATTCCATTCTTTTACCAAGACAGTTCAAAACCATGATAATCTCACCATCTTCTGCTTCAATAACCTTCCAACTCACCTTAGGGCTTTTAGTCATGTGCCTCTGAAAGCCACCCTTCACAAACCAGATAGTAAAATAAATCTGACCCTCTAAGGCCACAGTTTAAAAACCTTCAATGGTTCCTACTCCCCATTGGAGAGCCAGTGAGACTGGTGTCCTCTATACCACTTCAGTCTTGTCCCTGGGCCTTGCCAGCTCTCCACAACATGTTCAACAGCATTAAATGCCCGAAACATCTTGAATATTCCTCCATGGCTTCATCATTTTGTTCCCTTAGTCTGACCTTCTCTTCCTCCTAATTTTTGTCCAGATAACTTCTGTTCAACTCTCAAGTTTCCATTTTGTCAGTGCTTCCAGAAAGTCTTCCCTATTACTTCCAAGGTACACTTTCCTGTGCTTCCTCAGTGCACACTGTCTGGCACCTTCCACACTGGATTGAAATGATTTAGTCTGTATCTTTCTCTCCAATAGACTGCCAGATTTGGGAGGGAAGGACAGTCCCTTATTTAGCTGTTTATGTGTAGAATCTAGCATGCTGTCTGGCATACAATACATGTTTGTGAAACAGAAATAAATCAAACAAATGAACCGTTAGCATGAGAAACTTTTGAGTTTTCTTAAAGCCTGTAACTGGAATTCTTACAAAGCTAATGGCATTATAACTTGGTTCTTCTGGATAGGAACATAACCACACATAGCAAAAACTGTGAAAATGTTCAATCTCCTTCCCCTGGTATTTTTCCATTTGTGCAAACTCCCCAAAGAAAAAAATCCAAAGGGGGGAAAATATATACAGATGTTCCCAGCAACTCCAATTATGATAGTGAAAAAAACTGGAAATAAGCCAAATGTTTAACAGGGAAATAGCTAAGCAAACAATGGGATTATTACATAGCTATAAAAAATGACAGAGGTGAGGACTATGTCAACATAGAGAAGTGTGTATCTGCTGGAATGTTAAGTGGGAAAAAGAACACAGGCCAGTGTTTAAACACTAGTGGTTAAGGATGTGTGTGCATATTAACAAAGACTAGGCCATTTGAAGAAATGAAAATAGCTGGGGTTCAGTGTTCATTGGGTCTTTGTTCCCTGTATGGTTCCATGAATCTATGACAATAGTGATTACAATGTCACGCAACATTGCTATCTTGCAAGTCTTCTGTGAGTAAATGTCTACATTACCTACCACTTTGTATAATCCAAGAGATCATTCAGTGCTAAATGCTCATAAAATTATGGTGAAAACAATGGCATTACTTCAAGACAATAGAATACTTTTCTTTCATTTACTTAAACAAGCAATGATCAGAGCTTAATTGTATGTTAGGTCATGTTCATGCTCATGAAATTTACAGTCTTCACGTGGACATGTGGTATTATTTTGACTTTTACATACTTGGGTAGCTACATATAAAGACCTGTTATTATAAAGGGACATCTGAAAGATCTCTGGTCTAAACCCCAGATGCACTTATTATTTCAATTTTATATTTTTGATGTCTCCAAAAGAGGTTTATGTGGAGTCACTGAGCTATATTGATAAAGATGAAAAGGCAGTCATCATCATAGGGCCCTGAAGTTGTGTCCTTTCCCTCTGCAGTGAACTATGAATTAATGTTGATGCCTCTTGGGACTGGATTATCTCGGGAATAGCAAAATATTGACTCAGCAAGATTTCGTACATCACAAATAAAAGATTTTAAAAAACACTTTGTTCTAGAATTTATTCATTATTTTGCTCACTGAGACCCTAAAAGTTGGAGGTAGCCAGGTTTTTCCAGATCTCTGGGAAGCCCTGATTATAAGTACCACTTTATCTTGAGAATGTGATTGTTTTAACTAGGGGCCAAACACTAGTGCGTGGTTAATAATATAACTATATAAACATTTAATGAACAACTGTCTACTAGCCTTACTATTTCCACTGACACGTAACTGAGTCAGAAGCAGTTTCTATAGCTCGCACCCCTGACCTACAGACCTTGCCCTCAAACTCCTGATGGGCTCTGGAGATTCCTGTGCCTATGAAGCGCTTCCTCTCCCCTTTTCCTGCATTCAGTCTCCTTTTAGCTCCAGGACTCAGAATTCAATTCAAAGCTATTAATGTGTAGTTTAATGTAGGTTCTGTGGTGATGTGTCATAAGTGCCCAAAAATGCTTTTTAGAAAAAAAAATTGAGAATACAGTCTACCAGTTTTTTTGGGGGGGGAGGGGTAAGAGTGGGGAGGAATGCCCCACATAAAACTTTTGATCAAAACTAATTTTAGCAATTATTCCTCATATTTTTTGTGCTTAAATATATGAACAAAAAACAATGTTGAGTGTTATGTTCAAGTGCCTGTTCTTGTTAATAGTTAGAGGGATCGGGCTGTCCATTCACCTACCCCTTCATTTTCTGTGTCTTGCTTTTGTGCTGTGACTACTGATAATCTGAAGATGATGATTCTCTATATTCCAGCAAAATCCGTTATTCATGCAATAAAGATTTAATTGTGCTGACCTAAACCCCAAACCCACAAAAATATGTCCAACATAGTTGGAGGAACAAATGGGAACTGAAGAATCAAGGCACAGTCTCTCCTGACCAGTCTACACCCTTGTCACACCAGCTTCCATCTTTGGGGTGACTGTGTTGTCTGTGGGCACAGAGAAAGTTACTCTCCTACTTCTTACATCAAAAGTGCAGGTAGATACTGAAGGCATTTCTTAAAAAAAGGTTTATTTTTTATTTCTTTATGCACATAAGAACTGGGTGTAAGCTAGAGATGCCAGACAGGAGGTCACCAGAGACGGACAGAACAGGTGGATGGACTGAAATACACTGCTGAGGGGAACAGTGGAGGAGATAGGAGAGGTTTGCTGTGCCCTGTGGGTCAGCTCCCTGGTGGGGATCAAACTCATGCTTCTTGGCTGCGGATAGCTTGACGGTGCTGTGATTTTAACTCCTGTGCTACCAGCGAGTCCCGATACTGAAGGTATCTTACCTAATGTTGTATTTCTCCTTTGAGGAGCTGTAACTAGAATGTTTGGCCCTGGACCCAAACTCAGAAGAATCTTGTTTAAAAGACTGTGGCTAGCAACAAATGCAAAGCTACTTGTTGCCTGGATAACTTCAATGTATAGTGACAAATGAGAGGACTTTCAGAATGATGTGATAACAAAAAAGAACCAGATATTTCAGACAATAACCATGTAAATAAAAAACCAATTTGGTATTCTTTATTTGAAGGTGTTATAAGAAGCATGTATTTGGGGCTCTGTGTTGGAGGCTCCCAGGCTGAGCTCCAACAACCTACCTGAATGGCCCAGAAAGCACCCCTAGCTGTTGCACCCCTCTGTCCCTCCAGAATTATCAGGTAATTGCTTTCCAGTTCTTGCCTCACTAACAGCAAGCAGGCAAGAATCCATTCATTCAGCCCTTGCGTGGGCCGCATAGCTACTTCAAATGAAAACCGGGAATCCAAATTCCTCTGTAGTTGAACGTGTATAATTAGCTTCTTGTGCATCCTGACCCCTGACGTTTCTGACGCATTTGGCCTGCAGTGTGACCTCGCTCAGACCTCCAATGGCTCCTCCACAGCTGGAGATGCCCCAAACTGCACGCAGAGCTTCCTGTGGGTGTGGCCTTGCAGGCCTCATGCTGGGCTGAAGAAAAGGGCCCAGTTTCAACCACTCCCAGGTTCTCAGTGCTTTTCAAAGGAATGGAGTGGCCCAGGAACAGCTGGCTCGGACATAAATGGACCCCTCCCTCCTTTCTCTTTTTATAAAAACGACTTCTGATGGAGGCCTCTCCAGAAACACTATAATTGGTCAGCTTGGGGTGCATTTGATGTTCTCCCAGATAACATCAGCTACTCTCCAGAGAGGAAAGGCAGGGTTTGCCCCCTGGGAGAGTGACAGCATTCGTTTCAAGTTGGGGTAAAGCCTGTGGTTCTTTTCCTGTGTGTGTGGGGGGGAAAACGAACACACAGTGTTCATTTCCTAAATACGGGATGTGCCGTAAGGCTGGCAGGCCATTTTCCACCATGTCACATCCTTCCGGATAAAGGCAGTAGGGGCCAGGACAGGAAATGGCCAATTCGCAGAATGAGACAAGGTTTTCCCAGGCTAGTCATTGGTTCTCTGGAACTATAAAGTGTGCTCATCCAGAAACAGCCTCAGATTTTTCTTTCCTGGAGATAGAGTGAATGGTAAGTGGGGAGCCAGGGGGATATTATCTGCAAAGTAGCATTGAACTTGTACTATGGGGTTTTATCCTTGGCCTGTTATATATTTGGGGTGGCTTTTTCTTATTCTGCTAGAGAATATTTACCTCCCTGGTCCTATGTCACTGGTGAGCTGGATTTTGCAAGTCAGATTAAGGTTTAGGAGTCAGGAGGCCAAGATTCTATGCTGGGTTCTGTGAAGAATCAGTCACTTCTAGAATCTGTCTGTGTTTGGATTTTCTCATCTTCTGAAAGGAATAATGATTTCTTGTCCTGACATGTCAGTATTAAATTGCTCTGTTTCTATGATTTAGTTGTCACTTTAAAGAGGTTCTTAATTACGAGGCCTACAGTGGATCTGATCGTGGAAGGCTTTCTTTTGCTCCCATTCTCTTTGTTAGTCATCTCCCTGGGCTTCAATTCAACTTGGTCCAATGAAGCCCAAAGTAATTGATAAACAAAAATTTTGGTTATTTAATTTAATTCAATTATTACTTTTATTTAAAGGACTTTTTTTCTAATAAAGAGACACAGTGGTATTAGTTGAATGTAATTTTGTGAGTTAGTTTTCATCAAGCACTCATCAAAGAGTGAAATTTCTGAAGATCTGATGAACTCTAGAAAAAAATAGCACAAACCACAACTTCGATTTGATTCTAACTAAGATAAGAGCCTAGACAAATAACAAACAGAAGAATTGCTTCAGGCTGCATCTAACCTAGAAAGATAGCTTAAAAAATATGACAGATAATATGATTTAAAAGTTTTGGGTGACTTGTCATTTTTATTTATCAGAGAAAACTGCATTGCAAAACTTAGGATCCCAGTCTCCATGTAGTAAAGGGCTTTGTAGATTGGCACAATCTACCGCTTGGACCAGTGTTATCTTTCAAACAGCTTAGTGCAGGGAGTTGCCTTCCTGAGTCGACATCTTATCTGGCAGATAGTTAATAGTGCCCATCCTTAGCGTCCTGGGGAGAGAAGCAGAAGATGGTATCATTCCTATTTGCATAGGCTGGTTGAAGGTTCTGAGGATTTGTGTGACTTGTCCCAGATGACTGGACTTGACACATGACTTCTTAAAAAATGACCCCAGCCTCCCGGCATGGTTGTGTGGGCAGGCTTAACGCTGGCCAACTCCCGGCTTGCTTATGGGGACCGCGAGGGGGAGCAGCCTGCAAACGGGACACTCGGGGCTAACTGCACGTCTGTGTCCCTGCAGGGCATGGAGCGGCCGGCGGCCCCGGAGCTGCAGGGAGCAGATGCGCTGCGGCGCTTCCAAGGGCTGCTGCTGGACCGCCGGGGCCAGCTGCACGGCCAGCTGCTGCGCCTGCGCGAGGTGGCCCGGCGCCTGGAGCGACTGCGCAGGCGCTCCCTGGCGGCCAACGTGGCTGGCAGCTCGCTGAGCGCGGCGGGCGCTGTGGCCGCCATCGTGGGTCTCTCGCTCAGCCCGGTCACCCTGGGGGTCTCTCTGCTGGCATCGGCCGTGGGGTTAGGGGTGGCCACGGCCGGAGGGGCCGTCACCATTACGTCTGACCTGTCCCTGATCTTCTGCAACTCCCGGGAGCTGCGGCGGGTGCAGGAGATCGCGGCCACCTGTCAGGACCAGATGCGGGAGGTCTTGAGCTGCCTGGAGTTCTTCTGCCGCTGCCAGAGCCGCGGGGACCGCCAGCTGCTGCAATGCGGGAGGAACGCCTCCATGGCCCTGTACAACTCTGTTTACTTCATCATCTTCTTCGGCTCACGTGGCTTCCTCATCCCCAGGCGGGCCGAGGGGGCCACTAGGGTTAGCCAGGCCGTGCTGAAGGCCAAGATCCAGAAACTGGCTGAGAGCCTGGAGTCCTGCACCGGGGCTCTGGACGAACTCAGTGAGCAGCTAGAGTCCAAAGTCCAGCTCTCCACGAAGTCTAGTAGTGGCCACGACCTCAAGATCTCGGCTGATCAGCCCTCGGGGCTGTTTTTCTGAGAACATCCTTTTCCTTAATGACTGAGGCCAGAAACTGTCCCTGTGGGATGCTCCAAATTGGTAGCTCCCTCAGGAACACACTATGCTGGGTTAGAGCAGCATGCAAAGAATGAAAAAACCGAGCTTGAGTCAGGGCATGTGTGTCTGCAATGTCCTTTCGTATTACTGTGATACCCTGCCTGGGCTTGACTGCCAGTGACATTTTATTTCAAGGTGACTTGGAAGCTACTTTTTTGTCAACACCGTTCAGACACACCTGTCTTCAAGTTGTTCCAGGATCCCTGGCCATGCAGGGTGATGTAAGCCGAGGCTGGAGACAGTGTGCTGCGGACACAGCCCTCTCTGCATTCTCTTTAAGCCCGAATGGACTTTGAGTTTCTCAAAATGTCTGTGAGAGGAACTTAAAAACCTCTCTTCCCAAGAAAAACAAAACACTTCTTTCCAGTGTTGCTTGAGTACAATGAAGCCAGAATCCAGAGCAAATCAGCCTCTGAAGTGTGTGAGAGGGTTTAGGACCCAAGAGAGGCCTACCCTAGCCTACCCTACCTTATCCTCTCAGCTTGCCCTCTCAAGCTTCCAGCCAGGCGGGTGGAGGGACCTTCCCTGGTGGCTTCTTATCCACAGCTCCAGTTACTTTGAGAGGGGAAACCAATTAAATGGTCATCTGTATTCTGCCTGCCCCTCACAACAAGTAGCTGAGGCCAAGAAGTGACCCACAACTTCATTGTTGACATCTTTGCTAGAGAAGAGAACATTAGCTTTTGAATTAGACAGCCCAGGGTTTACTGTAAGGTCTGTTACTACCGGGTGACCTTGATCACTCAGTCTGGCTTCCTGATCTATAAAACAAACCCTAAAACATCACAAAGCTGCCTGTCTCTCCAAGTGTGGCCCCTGGACTGGCAACATTAACATCACCTAGAAATGTGTTAGCGAGGCAGGGTTTTGGACTCCACTCCGTACTTCTGCAGCAGCCTAGCAACTTGTGTTTAAACAAGCCCTCTGGGTGATTCTGATGCCCTCTAAACTTTGAAAACCTCTGCAACAGATGCTAGCTTCTGAGACTTGCCGTGAGCTTTCACAGCATCTCATGGTCTCTCTAGGGGCTTCAGAGTCATTCACAGAAGGTCAAGGACAGACTGTCCCAGAAGTGCAAGTATGTGTGTATGTGCTGGTCAGTGCATCCTGGGGGCAGTCTTCCTACATGTGAACTAAGGGGTGTAGCCTACTAAGCCCTTTAGAGGGCAGTGTAGCCCACTCATTGTGGAAACTGGTACAAAAGGAATGTGAACCTACTGGATATTGACCGCTATTACCTTCTCTGAAAACTGCCAGACCACATGTTGCTATTATTATTTTTAATTTATTTTAAGTTTATTATTTAACTACCGTTTATTGTTTGCATTTAATTTTATTTAATCACATTTTGTAAATAATGAGAATAGTTTCTCTCCCTCAGAGGGGAGTGTTTTTTCCTCCAGTGTTTTAAATGATCCTTTTAAGTAAGTGTGCAAAGTTCTGCATAAAGAGATTGGGAAATGAGTTTAAGCATATAACTAAATGGAGGCTTGATTTGTAGTTAATAAGTGATGCAAACACTTTTGTCCTGAAGGTACTTTACCAACAGACAACACTTCACCTGAAAAGAGCAATTACTTAGTTTAGGGAGAACAAAACCCTATTAAAGACGTGTGAAGGAAGCATTTTTAACCTTGGAAGCAGGTGTCCTATGAAGTTATTATTTATGGGTGATGGACAAAATCATTGGTTTGATGGGCCTTTGGGACTTTGGGAGCTGTAATAAATCTGTAAGCTGTCCCTAAGGAAATACTTAGAATTTCTTCCATTTCCATTCCTACAACTGTAATGTTGAAAATACATTGAAAAGTCTTTGGGAGTTTATTGACAATGCTTTAAACGTACCAGTCTATCGCAGGCTTCCCAGTAATGGCATTGTGTTTGAGAAAATAGAATTTCAGTGCTGGGGTAAGGGATGGCTGCTTCTATATTTTTATTTTTCTGTAAATTGCAATCAATTTTCATCCTTCATTTCCTAGACTACCTGGCTTAGGTGCCAGAACACCACAATGTACTTCACATTGTCATTTGTGTTGTGTCACCAAGGTATAGTGTCCTAACTCCACCTTGGTTAATGTTTAGGTTTTAATTATTTTCTTCCAAGATCTTCTGGTGTTCCCCAGAAATAATTTGGGCACTTCTGGAAGAGGGAGCAGCAGCAGCAAACTTTTCCTAGCACTAGGATATTCTGGATATATCAAAATCCAAAACTCAGAAGTAATAATTTTTGTGGCCCATGGTTCATTTGAGGAAGAGGGTTTACTTTGGAATTCATTGAGAATGAACAGTTTTCCACCCTCTTATGTGTTTGTTATAACGATTGGTGCCTGTACCAGGATTTAGTCAAGTTTATTTAAGTGGATTCTAGAGGCAAATATTATTTATTTTTTTATGTGGGAATGTGAGTGAAGCTTTTCCTGAAGGCTTTCAACTATACACAAACAGATTGAAATGGTATGTTGTAAAGGGAAGGAAGAGGGGTATTTAGATTACAAGTGTGCTTCAGAAAAACATCCAAGTTTGAAAAATAAATATGTTTGTGCTAAAGGTTTACGTGCTTCTGTGAGTTTCTTGGATTTGCAGTCCTTTGGATTGCTTTCTTTCACAATAAAGGGGATTCATTTGGATTCAAAGAAACTACATTCTGCTCTATTTAAAAAAGAATCCTTAGCAAACATTCTTTTCCTCTTTGCTTTGATGTATTTGCCCCCAGGCACCTGCCACTTTCAATGTGGGAAATGAAAGTATTAACTGGGAGAAAAAAGAGGAGCGGTGTAGAAGGCAATCCAGGCAGCTATGTCAAATCATCAGTCACGCTGATGTAGTTCTCACTCGATACCTTGGTGTGGAAAGAAACATGAGCTAGAGACATGTGCAGAGACAAATGGAGACACAGTTAAGTGCAGCAGGGTTTGAGTTGCACATTCTCCGCCATAGCAAAACTAGTCCTTTCCCTTTATTGAAATGAATTGCCCATGCCTCCCATTTTTTGATCCCTCTTTAACTAATGGCCCAATCTCATATTTATCCATGTGCGAATTAACACCTTTGAAAAGGGGCACAGGTGTTTGGATATTCTCACTTAGGATATTCCACATCCAACACTAGAAATTCACTGCAAAAAGTATCAACTCTTTTCAGGAATTCCCTTGTTTTCTAGAAATCAGACTTCCAGCAGTTTCAAAATCTTTGATCATAATTGCTACCTGGGAATTAATTGAAAGGAGACCAAGCATCAACCAAATTAACTTTTGCAAAATCCAAATTCTAGACAGAGGTCAAGAAAAAGAGTGAGGGACAGCATTTATTTATTTGAAGATTTATTTATTTATACATACAGAACTATGTACAGGCCAGAGGAGGGGTGGCGGGGGTGCAGATGGTGGTGAGAGGATTCACCAGCGACAGAGTAGGAAGCAGAACGGGCCGACTAATGAGGTACACTGCTGAGGGGAGCAGCTGGCGGGTCAGGAGAGGTCTGCCGTGCCATGTGGGTCACCCCGCTGGCTGGGGATCCAATGCCAGACTCCTTGCTGCGATAGCTTCATAGTGCTGTGCTGCTGTGCCACCGGAGAGGTCCCGAGGGACAACATTTATATAAGGAAGGCAAGACATTCCCAGAAACCTGGAAACTTCACCGGGTAAGTCATGGATCTTGACCATGCAAGATAGGCTGGGAAATGTACTTTTAGTGAAGAATTTGTTGTTTGCAATATATCCAGGATTTTGTTTGAAAGGAAGGAAAGTACTACTGCTCTAGAGGTGGTCTCACTATCTGAGCCCAGCTTTTGAATCTCCACCTTGGAAAACTTCCTGGGTCTGGATGTTGCGCTGTTAATGGCGGTGTAACCAAAAAATGGCTATTTACAAAGGCCAACCACAAGCTGCAGTCCTATCTTTGCTGTAGTATATGGTATTCCTGTCCTAACAAGTATCCTTTTAGTTAATTGCAGTAAGTTTCTCCTTTTTGAGTTGACTGGAGGTTGGGATATTACTTTTTCTTTTTGGCTCCTGGTAAACTTAAGAGGGAAAGTAAATCCTGCTCTTTTTTTTTTTTTTTTAATAGGATAAAGAATAAGGCCCCAAATCTGGAAATAATCACTTAACAACCGGTGAATTGTCAAGAGAGGGGAAATAGTGCAGCTAGAACAGGACTTCTCTGGGTCCAGGAAGGCACATTGGAGACTTCCGCACCTCTGTGCTGGCTGACACTACCATTAGCTTGTGGACAGACAGCCCTCTAATGCCCAAGCGGGTGAAGCCAGTCTATACTGAGCTAGATCTGCAGAGAACGATGTGGTCTCCTTTTATGTGTCCAGTGTGACCACTGAGGTGGGGTGCAGGCTGGTCTGCCATCTGATCTGCCATCGAATTCACACTAGACCTGTAGCAAGGAGTCACAGTCCAGACCTCTGCCTCCTTCACCCACAGGAACAGCCATAACAAGTTTGCTCCAGCATTTGTGCAGATCTGTTTGACAAATTTACAAAAAGAGTTGAAATCGGGAGCAGCTTTTTGTGTAGATACAGTTGTGGAGAAGTGATTTTAAAGGTTTTAAACCTTTTAGACTTCTTATTTCTCCCTGGATGATATGCAGACAGTTGCTCTGTCCTTACCTGTTATAAAGCTACCATCAAAATATTGAAGCATACTACTTTTCTAAGTACTGAAATGAAATATTTAGAAACTGCATATAGAAAATAAAGGTGAATATTTGATAGAAATAACTAAAAATATTATTGGAAAGTTACTTGGTATTGGGCTAAGTACAACTTGACATGTATTATCTTATTTGGTGAATACTATAATTACCCCACATTATTGGATTTTAAAAATAAGTAAGGAAACGAGTGTTCCAGGATGTGAATCCTGGCAACTTGACTCCAACTTGACTCTTAGCTCTTCTGAGAGTAAGTACATTCCTAATATAAAACAATGGTGATGCTATTAATAACAAACTGATGGATTCATTCACTCCTATTCATCTTGGACCACTTACTTTCTTTTGTGAGCAAAGCAGACAGGATTTAGATCTCAATAATCTACTACTCTGGAGAGGGCAATCTTATATCAGTAGGTTCATTAATATGACATTAAAATGTAGATTTGCAAATGACTAGTATTTGCATAAAACAATGTGGGTGTGATTTGAAAACAATCATCTGCTTTAACGATCAGATGAAATATTACAAAATATTATGAATATTTTGTAATGCTATCCCAGGTTTCCCAAACATGTTCAGATTCTTACAAACCAAGTCCCTAAAATGGAAGAATAAGATGAAGCAAAACTTTTTGCTCCATTGAGGTGCTGGAACATACTAATGACGAGGCAGAGGCAGATGTGAAAAAAGTAACGACTGGTTCAGCAGGTCTTTCCAGATTTTGTATAAAAAACGTGCCCAAATGAAACTTCTTGGGGTGATTCCATCGAAACTACCACTGAAGCTGCCTGTCAGTTTTCTTCCTGTTAAGGGTGTAGACTCAATTTCAGGTGGGTGGTTATGGACTAAAACTATAAAGCCTTGTACATGAGTAGATAGGTTTGAGTAGGAATAAGATAAAGTTTTCAAAAAGTTTCATGCTTCTGGGCCCTCCTCGGTGGAGCAACGGGTTAAGGCACACAGCACTGTGAAGATTGGCCAGCTGCTTCACTGCGAATTCAATACTTGGTTAGGGAGGTGACCCACATGGCGAGGAAGACCTCTCCTGACCGTCAGCAGCGTACTTCATCCATCTGCCTGCTCTGCTCCCCACTCTGCCTCTGGTGAATCCTCTCACTGCTCCTGCACCTCTGGTCTGTTTTCCAGTTCTGTGTGCAAAAATTTTCAAAAAAAAAATCATGCTCTGTGGCATGGCAGACCTCTTCTGACCCGCCCGCTGCTCCCCTCAGCAGTGTACCTCATCCGTCTGCCTGCTCTGCTCCCCACTCTATCTCTGGTGAAGCCTGTCACTGCCCTTGTATCTCTGGCCTGTACCCCAGTTCAGTAAGAATAAATAAATAAATCATTCAAAAAGTCATGCTTTGATGCTTTTAATATTGTTCTCTGAGCTTTAATATATCAAACACTAATAACTGTTGGACTTGCATTTGACATGGTTGACCACCCAAATCCTAAGACATTTTTCCCCTCAAATTCTGTGACATCAGGTTTGTTTCTCTGTTTAGCATCCTTAGTAGCTTTTCTTTCTTTTTCTCCTGGACCTGAAGTGTTCCTGGAACCTCAGACCCTAGCTGCTACCCCTCTCATCGGAATCCTTCATGTCCATTCCTGGTGTTTGTACAGTCCTGGACAGCATGCTGGATGGACATAACCATAGCTCAAGGATTCTCTTGGGTCAATTTGAATTTGGATGGTAAGAGATGTGATAAAACAAAGGTGGAGAAGACTGACTGACTAGGACAAACTACAGGAAGAATGTACAAGAAAGCAAATTCTAGTTGTTTCCTTCTATTCATTTCTCTTGTTGTATGGCTACACATTGGTGTCAGTCAGATGTGGTCTTGCCCTTACCTGAATGTCAAAGAGCAGTCCCTGTCACTTACACAGATTGATTATGCAATACCATTGATTAGAGATATTTGTGACTACCCCAATGGGCTTAAGATCACTGAATCACTAAACCTCCCCACCACTCTATCACTAAACCTCTCCAGCTCCCCCTACAGGAGATGCTTCTAAGCATTTGTTAAATGAACAAAGGAACCACACCCTGTCATGCACTCCTTGTCATGGTGAATATAGATTGACATTACTTCTAGAACATCTACGGGATCCCCCTTCTTCTCTGGAATCTGGTCCTTCTCCCTCTGTCAAAGGCAACATTAGTATCTCAGTTGCTTACCTTGACACTTCATTTCCAAATCTCCTTTATTATTTCTCCATTGTCTGTTGGCCAAGGGGCCCAGGTTGCTTCCTACTTACTGTCTCACTAAAGATTTCTCCCATGCATTCACTCACTGTTACCCTCCCTCCCAGGCTTATCACTGCAACGGCCCTCAAGCTGGTTTTCCTGATTCTTGGTTCTTTCCACTCAAATTCATATTGTCCTACAGTCCTTGATTCTTTTACTATATATCTCATGAAATTCCATATTCCAGTGAAATGAAATGCCATTGGACCTAAAACTTGACTCTGAATTTATACCCACTTTACATTCAGTGTAAATACCTCTGATTTACCTTTAGAGAGGTGTTCAACCCTATGGTATTTGCTATGTATTTATTAAACATTTTTTAAGTTGAAGTAACATTGCTTTAAAACATTATATAAGTTTCAGGTATTCATCGTTGAGAATGATACAGTTTTTTTTTAAATATAATATAATAGTTTATTTTTACATCATTTTGTGCATTTTCCCATCTCAGTTGTAATCCCCTTTGGTGATGGGCTTCCCACGTTTTGATTCCATCTTCCACTCCACCCCCATAAAATGTCTCTGGTATATAGCTGTTCATTATTATTATTATTTTCTCGCCTGGTCCGTTATACTTCTGCTATGAGTGAAACCATCCGGT